ATCACAGTTCAGAAAAGTACAAGTGCTTGTTGTGATGGGAAAAAGACCAAAGCGCTTCCAGCCTGACTTTAAAGCCGTTTCTCTGAGCTGTGTGATGGCTGTTGCAGTTCGGACTGCGCCATGTGCTTCCTCAAAAAGAAAGACTTCAAGGACACGGCACTGGCCCCAAGTCAAAGTAAGCACGCTGTATCAAAGCGGGTGTAAACAGCTCAGCATCTCTCTCTCATAAACAGATCAAAATACTCTAATAGCAATGGGCAGTACGGATGAAACTCTTGGAAGTTTAGAGCTAACACTTTCTTCTGAATTCAAATATAATAATGTAATTACATATTTACATTTCACAATTATGTGGCTCTACTAACATGTGCACTATTATAAACCTTACTAAAGGTTAAAATGTGATCGTTCTGATTTACTATAAAAGCACCGTAGCCCATTTTAGCGGCCATAATAAAATTAAAGGCATGGTTGCATGTTATTACTATTATATATATATTGCATATCACTGTTGTTGGAACAAAACCTTGCATCTCCAAAATGGTAACTTTACAGAAAAGAAAAAAACATTTAACTTTTAATGTAAGTCAATGGAACCCAAATTTTCCAAGTCATTTTGGGCTGTTTCTTCTGGTCCGTTCTTCATGAAATTTACAAACAATGTAAAGGGCAACAGGTATTTTCAAATTATGTCAAAAACTGAAAAACAACAAAAATGGAGATACAAGGTTTTCTTCCAACAGCAGCGATATGCATTTATAGTTAGAAATACTTCCGATGTCAGAAGTCAGTTCCAAATTATGTGCCAGGCTTGCGTTCAAATTTCACGTTTGGATTCTTAGGGTCCAACTCTTAAGTCCACCAAATTAATTCAGGAAAGTACATATTAGCGTAGCCAAAAGGATGTTTCATGAGTTTAGTACAGTATTTTTATGTTATGTATTCAGTGTATCGTATATGTAACGTTCTCTGTGCAGAAATTGAGTTTTTAAACAGGTGAAGGTTAACATCTTGCTAAATCAGCACCACAGAGTGCGAGAACAGCGCGGTATGGAAAATGTATACAGACCAAAAAAGGTTTGGGATGTTGTTCAAAAGCATTTCTTAATGAATAGATTTGTTGTGTTATTTGAACCTAATTTTGAGCAGCGGACAATTCTGTCATCTTATATTTTATATATCCATGATCTAATGATGGCTATTATTTTTGCTAAAAGGTAATTTACCTGGTGGCATCATCAGAAATATCAGGTTTATTCAGCCTGGGCCTATTCAGATCAGTTTTGGAGGAAATTTTGTTGTACCTGGGTCAGTTTCAGACTTAAAAATGTATATGGTTTGGGTTGGGTCGAGTTCATAATTGGAAAGAAAGTTCTCTGGCTGTTCTTTGGGTTTGGACCCAAATCTTCAGGCCCAATTAGAGCTTGACGCCGGCCCAGCAACACAGAGGGCCGTTTTTGAAAAAAAGTTTCCTCTGTTTCTGGCAGCAGTCAAATATTGGCTTATGTTTGACCTTTTGAAATTGTGAAATAATAGATCTGTTCACACTGCTTTAGTTTATCAGGGGGATGTCTCCTCAGTGATAAAACTCTCACATCTGGACAGCAATAAAATGACCACAGATCGAGTAAGTTTCTAGTGGGTTGCATTTTCTATGAATGTGGTCATATGATCTAAGAAAACTAAAAGTTGATGATATTGTGAATATAAAGTACTGTAAAATGCTTTATTACTGCAGCTGCCATTTAGTCACCACTTTAATCAGCTTGCAGGCTCTCACTTTTCTCATTAACTCTTTGTTTCTCTTCTTGCTAAAGCTCTCCAAGTGTAGAGAGCATGGAGATGAATGTCCACCATCCCCAGACCAAGTACATGGCTGGGAGAGTCTTCATGAATCGGGAAGTGTTTATTATGGATACTCTTGCTAGCAGACTAAATACAGCAAGTAGCAGACAAAAACAAGAACACTTTTTTTCCAATGTGAGGCAACATCTGCCTGGAAAATCAGAGATGTGTATCCAAAGGTGACTCAAATTATCACCACTGAGTTTGATGAAGAACAGTAGGTAATTCAGCCTGTCATTTTATCAGGGAAGGAGCGAGAAAAACACCTACATGGCTGATCCAAATGGCAATAAAATCACAGTAAAAGAGGAAATCACCCCAGGATCCTATGTAAATTTAATCCTATCCAAAGGCTAATTTTCTTATTTTCTAGATACTTCACTTTAGTATGTCATGACTTATATAATTACTTATTTTCTTAACATAATGCCTTATTACATAAAAATGATTACACTAAGAATAAATGTATTTGACATAAGTCAAAATCTCGAGAACATAAATCAGTATTTCAACATAAGCAAGTCAAAACTTTACGATATAAAGTCAAACCTTTGAAATAATAAGACATAAGACAAGATATAGACATTCTGCTGCCAGAAACACAAAAGAAACAACTTATAAACAAACATTAATATTTATTCTTTTTCCTCCTACTTGGCAAAAATGGGCTTCCATAAGAAGAAGGATGTGAGCGAAACAGGGTTTACATTTCACTGGTCATGTGATAAACTACTAAGTTGCACTTGTGCTCATTTGTATGAAAGTTCTTAGTAGAAAACCAGCTACAATGACCACTCCCACCTGCACAAATTACCTGTATACCATAGGTAATTAGTGTCTTTCTTACTAAACCTGCCTCCTACATTTAAATTTACATTCTATGTGGACACGTCTGCATTTTTCACTTTTTCCCTTTTGGTTTCAATGTCAAAAACTGACAAAAATAGCAAACATTCACAAGATTGGTTTTCTTTCTGCAACACAACAATAACGTTTCATCAAATTCATGTCAAAACAAAATATCTCATTTCCTATTTACAAACACAAATGTGGTATAGATTGAAAGCTTGGAACCTTTCCACAAGATTTCTCCACCAGATTCAGTGAGCTATGAGTCAGAAATCACTCATATGTTGTAGGTAGTGAAAACAGCAATTTTTACATCTTAAGCATCATTTTTGTACTTGTTCATTGTAACCTGAAGGAGAGACCCAACCCTAATATGTTGAATTTTATACTAAAATGAAAGACGACTTCTATTTGCCAGAGAAAAAAGTAATTATTCTTCTGGCCCTGGCTCCATGGGTGAATGGACTGCTAACAGTCCTTCATCTCAAACCTGCAGTTGTCACTAAATAATTGCTTGGAGACTTTCCCAGCTGCCAACAGATTTCCTTCTCTTTTTTCGGTGAGAAAAATGAGGACGGAACAATACAGAAGACTATGTGGAAATCATCACACTGCTTAATTAAGGATGGACACAGGCATACTAATAGTGCTCTTACATTTTTGGTCTCATTTCCAATTAATGGATGTGTCAGAGCGTTTCCCGAGTGACAGGATATATCCCACTCTGCACAGCGACAGCAAAGAGAGACCTTTATTATGTGCCATTATTGCACAAGCTGTAGGTAACTGTACCATTATGACATTTGCACAGTAGGAAGAGCAGTCAGTATTTCAGAGTGTCTAATTAAACAAGCTGATCAAAATAAGCAAATTCCGCCCTTGGCATATGTGTATATATATATATATATATATATATATATATATATATATATATATATATGTGTATTATATATATATATATATATATGTGTGTATTATATATATATATATATATATATATATATATATACACATATATATGTATGTGTATTATATATATATAGCTTTTGTCAGACGGAAACTTCATATCTCCAAAATGGTTACAAGGGAAGGAAAAAACCTACTTTACTTTTAATGTAAGTCAATGGAACCAGAATTTTTTCCAAGTCATTTGTTTTTTTTTCCATTTCCCATTTGTTATGAAATTTACATACAATGTAGAGACCAACAGGCATTTTCCACTTATGTTAAAAACAGAAAAATGACAAAAATGGAGATATGAGGTTTTCTTTTGAAAGCAGCGAGATATATATATATTGCATTGAAACCCTATATATATTTAATGACATATTATGATTAATGAGACTGTTATTACAGATATATAAATGTGTTTTCCATTAACATCAACTGTTATTCTTTTCAAAAAATGTTATATGTACCAAAGTTGACTTTTGAAAATAAGTTAACACATCCTCTAAGGGGAACACATGTAAATATGCCATTTCTTTCCATTTTTTTGTGCAACATTTCTATTTATTTCACTTATTTGAGTTTAACATATTGAAAAATACTAAATGTGATGTAACTTTTGTGCAGGCCACATTTAATGTTTTTTGTTTTGTCTTATTTCTCCCAATATGTATATACGTGTCACGTTTCCCGGTTCTCAGTTAGACTCTCATTCCATTGCGGACTCCACTTCCCAGAATCCCTCAGTTTGTGACTTCACCAACCAATCACACGCCAACCAGAAGATCTCAGTCACCTGAGTACTGATTATAAACACTGATGTATATAAACCTATCTGTTTGCATTCTTTCTTTGTGAAGTATTGTCTCTGTTCCATCAGCGCATACAGAGCCCTTCTCTTATTTGCTAGCCTTTTTATGACCTTGTTCTGTTTTTTGTTGCTGATTCTCAGATTTGTCCCTTTGTCTAAGTCTACCCGTGTATTTGCTCTTTGGTTACAACCCTTGCTTGTTTATTTGATTCTGTCTTCGCCTTTGCCCATGTATTGTGTTTTGTTAATCTGGTTTCTAACCTGGTCTGGTGTTGACCCTGTTATTTCAGCTAATCCTCTTTTTAATAAACCCTATGGTTTATCTTTTATTCGCGAGTGTCTGTTTCGTCAACCCAGCGTTAAAATATGATATGATATCCAGTATTTTCCACTGATCTCAGCCTCATACTGATAAATAATATTGATCAATACCATCTCTATGTATCTATATATACACACATTAAACAGAAGCTAATTCTCAGACAAAAACAGAACCGCAATGACCCTTAATTGAATTTCACACAGTAGGTCAGTCAGAGTCCATTACCTTGCACCCACAATCAGCTCGTTCTGCCCAGGGTCAAAGGTCAGCTGCGAATAATCCACCGTGCCCTCTGCTCTGAAACGGCGGATCCACGGCTCAATATCTGCAACAGAAGAGATGAGACATGTCAGACCATGATGTGAGGGGGTCCATGTGTGCCTCTATGCCCTATGGTGTATTAACCTCTGACCTTCGCATCAAAGCCTCAGTCTGAAGCCTAAAAGGCATAAACACATCATCGCTGCTGTCTACCTGCTGCTGTGCAATGTGATAGCTGATCAGCTTGACATTCTGGTTATGCTAATTTCACAGTTATACAGCTTTTTTGCATCTTTTTTAAACTACATTAACAGTCTGAAACTAACATCTGACATGTCCAAAGGTATCTGGACAGCCCTTCCAACTACTGAATTAAGCTACTTTAAGGTGCACCCATTGAAGGCACTCAGTTGCATACATAGCTTGAGTAACCTCCATAGAAAAGCACTGACCAATAGAATAGGACACTCCAAGGAAATCTGCAGGGATATTTTTCCATAACTTCAAAGTTCAGTCTTAGAAGTTGGTTTTGCATTTTCTGCATCTCACAATATAAATAATCCCTAACATATTCAGTGATGTTAAGGTCTGGACTCTGGGGTGGTCAGTCCATTATTCTGAGACCACCAGCAGCTTCTTTGGTGGATGTGTCTATTTCCTTTCCTCAGTAAGAGCTTTTTGACAGCCACACATTCTTTCAGACTCATAGTGTTGAGTTGTCTTCTCACAGTGGAAGGATGGACAGAAACACCTGAGGATGTTTTCAGATCTGAAGTAAGAGTGGAGCTTGATTTACTCCTCTATCTATATACATACATATGCCAAGAGTGTGCAGTCATCAAAGCAAAAGGTGGCTACTTTGAAGAATCTAGTATAAAAACATAAGTATAAAACATATTCTGGTTTGTTTAACACTTTCTTGCTTACTACATAATTCCATATGAAAAAAAAATATATATATATATATATAATAATAAAGCAGAAATCAACAAAACAGTCAGAACTTTGACTAACTCTGGCCTGTACTCTCTTATACTCTCTTATATAACTTGTCTTTGTCTTGTTGAATTTGTTCTTCTCACCATTGAATGATTTTTTTTCTTCTTGTGCCTCTAGTTTAAAGTCATGCATCAGTAATAACACTCAGGAAAGCCACAGAAGGAGGTGGCACAATGAAAGAGAGATCAATAAGGGCAAATTAATAGAGAAGAAGGTTAGGGAGAAGGGAAAAACTGATTACATTTGATTGCCATTGTGTGTCGCTTCATTTATATCACTCTCAGTGAGTCCCAGCTGCCCAGATTGAGTTGGACCGGGTGCAGAGTTGAGTAAAACGAGTCTGGTGATACATAGATGAAGGCTGTAAATCATATTTCTGCTGTTATTTGATTAACTCTTTAATGATGAGAGGAAAATGCTCCACTTCTACCTTTAAATCTACTTTCTTCTTAACAACATGATTTCTCAACACTACTGTTCCATTCATTTTGACATGTAAAGAACATTTTTTTATTATGCAAAGTACCATTTTGAGCAAGAAATGAATATACTTCACACTTCAGTGGCCTTGTATTGTTGCTTTAATATAACAGATCAATCATATGTGTTTCCATAGTGATGTGAACTGCACTCCGCCCTCAGAAACTATCACAGTGCATCCAACAATAAAGGCAGCATGGAGCTTCTTTTATTCAGTGATAGGAAACATGGTAGCTCATAGAAAGCTCCAATTGGTGGTTGGTAGTCCAGTTTACTAACCAATATGGATACAAATGCCCACAAACTGCTCTGGAGTTACAGTTTGTTAATAATGATTTAGTTATTAGACACTCAAAAAGTATAACTTGAAATGTTTTTACTTAGTTGCATAAAAACTCTCTCATAATCAGTATTTAGAAATTGTTTTGTTAAAATGATCAAGTAGGTATTAACTACCCTGCTGTTTTGTGGTGCATAAATGTTTCTTTACTAATTAATTAATCATTGTTAAGTGCTTACTATACACTATAATGTACACTATACTCTATATAAATTAATAATATTACTTGCACCTTCAGACACCAATCATGATTTTTTTTTTGTCTAACTGTCATTTTATTATTCAACAGACAAATTCTCTTGCAGATTTATGGAGGGCAGTTGCCTTTTATGCATAATTGGAAATCTTTCCTAAGCCAATAACCTATTTTATTCACCATGATGAATGAAAGATACTGCAAGCTTGACATGTGGACATTCATATGGTGTGAGAAAGAAAACAGTTCAGACAATATTGTTATTAAAATGTGCAGCCAGATGTTATTCAAAGTCACTAACTATGAAAAAGTTTACTTTTCACAACAATCTCTCAACTATCAAATAGTAAAAATACAACAAATAGAAGAACAATGAAAAGAAAAGCAGAGCTAATAATAGTATAATAGTTTTCAGCGAATAAAAAGAATAAAAACAAAAAAGAGGAGAGATAATTATTTCTATTTTCTCTTAAGTAATTAAGAGATCTCTCTTCTGTTCACAGCAGTGCATTCTGGAAGTGAGGAGTAAGAAGTGACTTTATTTATTGGTGATATTCCTCCGGGGGTTGTTCATCACTCAAAGTAAAAGCATCTGAAGCATCCAAACTTGAGCAGATCTCCCAGAAGATCCGCAACAGCAGTGACTTCACTTTTTTGCTGTAAATCTCTCATTTCCCTGTGGGACAGGCTTCAGTTCAGTGTGAGCGCAACTTTTAAGTGAATATGGATCCATTGAATCTGGATTTACAATCTGTCTTTCGAGTAAATGACTCAGCCCTGATGATTCCTCTTAGACTTTTATAAAACGTTCCAGCTCCAAAAAGAGTGAAGTTTGGCTGTGAGTTATTAATGTCAGCTAAAAGGGGGCATTCAGGTTAGTAAGCAAGGGACTTGGCACAGGGAAGGCATTAAAGGAGTAATGTGACGAAAAATCCAATGTACAACAAGTCTCCCCCATTTAGTTCAAATATATTTGTTAAGCAAAGACATGTTTGGTGTCTGAAATTTGCTTCCTTTGCACTGTAGCCACAAAGCTAATGCAGCTAACAAGTAATGGAAATATATATGCTACCCATTAGCATTATTATGCAAACTGAATGCTTAAATCATCGCATTCCTCTAAATGTGTCAACTTGTAAACAATCTCAGTGGCAACTCAAGGCTATCAGAGCTAGGCCTTCAGTCCGAGTCATAAATTTCTATTAGCTATCGCTGTTGTACGTGAATATTTTTTGGTTGTTCTATATTAAACACAGGTGTTTGAAACTTAAAGACATTTCTGTAACAGACATTAACATATATTAGAGCTTGAATGTATCAGAATTACAGTGACTCTTTTAGTAAAGTGTCCTGGCATGGAGCTGCCGCCACTGTTTTCAATTCCTAACAACTAAATGAAACCTGGTTAGACTCATATTCACAGTTAGTGACATTTCTAGAACTTCCAGAAGGCTTAGAGTGATGTGTTTCTCATGAAATTGGTCCCACTGTAAATAAAAATGTGATCCTCTGTCATTCTCTAATGATGTTGCAGGTTAATCTAACATCCTAAGGTCTTCTGTGCAGCTCCTGAAGTCCTAACCAATGGGAGAGCTCACTAGGTTGTATCTACCTACAGAAAAAAACTGAAAAATTTTAGGGATTTCAAGAAGTTATTAGGCCTTCTCTGAAGGTTTAGGAGGCTGTTAGGGTTCCCCACTGAGTAATTCCTAATGGACTTGCTTATGTAACATACTGTAATCTTTGAACATGGACAAAAGTTCAATGTTTAGTTAAAAATAGGAGTAACAGACATCTTGTAACCTAAATATTGTGCACACTTTTGTCCAAGCCTGTTGTTATTGCTGAAATCTCTAGTTATAAAATGTAACCAAATGAAGATCTGCCGGTTGGATAACACTGGTCGATGTTGCAGGCTCTTTTAACACTTTATATTCTCTGTAACTCAACCATATTCTGCCCTCACTAGATGAGGCTGGCAGGTAGCTAATAGGCTAACAGGCTGCTTCAGTAGTATTAAGAAACAGGCTCCAAATTCAGACTTTGCCAGAACAGTCATGCTAAAACTGCATCTAGAGTAAAGAATATGTTACTTGTATGCCTGTTACAAGCTTATGTCTGTGTTTAAGCTGGAACCGGCATCAAATGTGATTATACAACACCATTAGCATGGTGCTAACAACACTACAAACTTCTATAGGGATGCTAGCGGAAATTAGCATTATGCTAGTGGCTAATCGGACAATGAAAGGCTACTTATGAAGCTGAATTACAAGGTTTCTGTATCAAACATTGCAATGCTATATAACAATCCGCAACTGATAGATCTTCATAATTTTATAACTTAAATAACTAAGAAGTTCATAAAATAACTGTAAAATTCCATGTTTTTTTTTCTGACAAACAGATAATTACACCAAGTGCAATGACTGTCACTGGCTTCCTTTATGCATCTTTATAATTCAGCTCTATCTATATGCATTAATAACAGGTTGAATTAGTGCTGGATAATTTCAAGGGTTTTTGGTGCTAGTAAGGACACTCGTGTCCATTCAGCATGCTCCAGCCAAGCTGAATCTGCCAGACACAGTGTTATAAAGCCAGTCTGGAAAAGACTGCATCTCACATGGCCATGTGTCTGGCTCTTCACACCTCATTTTCAGGCAGATGGACAATAATACAGCGGCCAGCACTATAAATGCATGCTAATAGCAAAGCACCTGATACTGTAGCTCTTTCATATTTCAAATTTTTCCACCAAGCTGAGAACCGCAGAACCTGAAGTCACATTATAGAGTACGGGGGGTGGCTTAACTAAGATTAAAACATGTGGAAAAGAAACAGATCAGTTGTTGTTGCCAAAAAAGTTTTGTAGAACATGAACCCTTAGGGGTGTATTACATTTGTTTATTTATACTACTCACATCTAATTTTTTAATAATCATATATTAATTACACAGTTGCTTATACAGTAAATTACATTTACATTCAACATACATTCTATATCAACAGGTTTGAATCTGCAATTCTGACTTCTTTTGGTTTGTTT